ATTGCTATCACGATTCAAGTCAAATGGCCAAGAGCAAGGTAAGTCTAGTAATTCAAATTGACGTCATGACATTATTTGTTTTAAATGTCAAGGCAGGGGTCATGTATCAAGAGAATGTCCCAACAAGAAGACAATGATCCTTAGACAAGATGGTGGATATGATTCACAAGATGAGTACATGGCTGAAAACTCAGAAGAAGAGCATGTCATCTACGCAGAAGAAGGAGAATTACTGGTCATCCAAAGAGCTCTAAACTCTCAACCTGTTTTAGAGGACTTAGAGCAAAGAGACAATCTCATTCATTCCAGATGCAATGTACAAAACAAGGTATGTCATCTAATAATAGATAGTGGTTCTTGTGCTAATATTTCTAGTGTTTGTTTAGTAGAAAAGATGGGGCTTAAAACTAAGCAACACCCAAAACCATCAAACTTAAATGGCTAAATGACAAAGAGGAGTTAAAAGTCTCCAAGTAAGTAGAGGTTCCTCTGTCCATCGGCCAGTATAAAGACCAAATCTTGTGTGATGTTGTGCCTATGCAAGCTGGGCATGTACTGCTTGGAAGGCCATGGCAATATGACAGAGATGTTGCACACAAGAGGCGGACAAATGAGTATTCATTCCCATTCAATCATTGTAAGTTTATTCTTGCCTCTTTAGCACAAAAAGATGCTAGAGCTTTACAAAACAGAGCTAGGGAAAAGGCTAGTTATTTTGCTATCCACGAGTTTTTATATTTGGGTCCACCAGATTTAATACACTTGTCTTTGCCAAGAGAATACTTTGCAGGTTTTAAAGAACAAAAGTTCAAAGCTATGGAGTTCAAAGAGAAAAACGTGGACAACAATGGAGAAAAAATGATATTTACTAAGGAGAATCCACCATTACACCAGCTGACACCAATACTGGAGCTTGCTGAATCCAAAAACATTCTATTTATTCAGCTATTGGAGCATGTACAAGCTAAAAATCAAGGTAAGCTCTTAAACTCTAAACATTCATCAGAAACTAACTTAAGGTTATGTGATGCAGGTAATAATGTTCTGAGGACAAAACTTCTTCAAGAGGGAGAGTGTGATGTAAGCATCAAGGCTCATACAACCAGATCCAACAAGAAGTGGAGTATTGGAGCTAAACCGGATGATGCTAAGCTTGTAGCTGAGGATTCAAGAGGATTCAAAGGAGTATCATTGAACCAGAGGGGATTTATTTATCAAGAGGAGCCTTTTATTCAACCAAAGGAGCCGCCGGTTCTATTTAATTCAGAAGAGAACCAAGGTCAAACCACTATAAGAGCAAATCAGGTGCCTAGAACCAATTTGGAGTCGTTTAAGGAAACTTGGAGAAGAAGCACATTTTTATTCGATCCACCCTCCTATTATATATTCTCAGAAGACATAAGAAGATATACAAGCCATTATACAAGCTGAAAACCGGAGCCAAACAAAAAGACAATTATCAAATCCAGTTAAACCGCCAAATCAAGCCATTGGGGCATTATTGGATTCATCTATAGAAAGCTCGGATTAATATTATATGAAGACCTTATTCAAGCTCGTTTTAATGGAAGACACAATCATATATAGGTCCAATGTTTAAGATAGCAAACCTGAATTATCCTGGGATGGTCACGAGTGTTGTTTACCAAGCCAAGAGATTTCATCTTGCATTATCCATCCTTCTTCTGATGTCTTTTGAGCCTTGGCGACTAAGACTTTTTTGTTATGGTAGCCGATAAATCTAGATATGAAATATCAATCATCCTTATAAATTTCAATTAATTTAAAATATACGTATTTATCGCATATATAAATAAGGAATTTTCCATAAGATCTGATGTTATCCTTCTGTTTCATTAATGTAGTATAGATTCTAGAGATTTTATACAATAATTCATATATATGATATTATAAAAACTGATTGTATTAAAATCAGACTAAAAATTAATTTGAGCTTTTCATTAATGGTATAAATATTAATTAAGGATAGAAAGATAAAAAAAATGTGTGAGAGTGAATATATTATATTCTCGAGATTTTATACGATAATTCCTTTCTACTATATTTATAATATTATTATAATATATTTATTAATTTTTTCCCCATAAACATGGATTTGATTTCATCATCAAAAATATAATTAAAAGGTGATTGTATAAAAATTGGATTAAAGAAGATAATGAGAGCTTTTCATTAATGGTATACATATTCATTAATAATATAAATGTAAAAAAACACGTGAAAGTGAATATGAGAGCGACACATAAAATTTTTAATTCGCAAATAAGAATTTCTTGAGCTCTAAGCAATCCAAAACTCTTTCTACTGAGTCTTCTTCGCATTATACATCCCGTGGTGAGGGTTAAATGAGACCGATTCAAGCGAACTCTGTTAATTATTCACCTCAAGGGGTATCTCTATCGACAACACTGAACTGCTTCTGTTACCATTCAATGCATTTCCTCCACCTTCTTCTAATTATACATCCTTCTGTCAATCCAAAATTTTTGGAACGAAGTATATCAAACCGAGCGAGAGAAAAAAAATAGAAAGATAGTTGAGAGACGAAAACAAATTAACACCCGGAAAAAATACAGAGCCAATCCCTTAGTATGTACAGTAGTTGGTAGTAGTAAATATAACGATAATTATGGACTTTTTTTGAAAATTATAAAAATTTTAAAACACGTTGGAATGAATACAAAGCAACTACTGAAAGTTAAAAGTCCATCCTGTCACATTGTTGAAAAAATAATTTTTATCATCTCTAATGCTTGGATTAGGAAAACCATAGAACCCAGCTCTTCATCAGTTCTGATGATCCATCTTTCAAAGTTTAAACTATAAGTGGAAATAGACAATATGGATTTGTTCTACGAAGGAGACAAAATTAAAAAACACATAAGAAATTATACACAAAGTAAACACACAACTAAAAAGAAATAAGAAGATACACCAAATAGATAAATATTGTATGGAAAAACTCACAGTGCATGCACCGCATCAAATGATCTACCATAGAAGGAAAAAGCGAAAAACCATCAGATATACACACGACAATAACATAGCATTAACCAGAAAGACAAACACAATACCTATATATTAAAAGAATATAGATGATCTGCCAATAATATAGACTGACTTGCATAAATATGAGAATACAAAATCAGAATCCAAACGGAAGTAATTAAAGAAACCATAGCAAAAAAAAAAAAAAAAACACAGACTAAACAATAACCAACACGATAAATAAAAAAAAAAGAAAACGGAAGAATAGGGTTTGTTTAGGGTTTGTTTCTCCCACGTAAGAAACGGAGAAGATGGCGATGGAGAAACCCACGAGAAGGTAGAGGAGAAATCCTCGGGTGCCTCTTCCAATCCACATCCCCACCTTCTTCAATATTATAAACCCTAAATAATTGTAGCTTCTTCAAGACAATAACAATAATTTAAGACGAAGAATTAAAACAAATAAATATATCCAATATATCATTTTCGTCTTTTAACTATATAAAGAATCAACTGACCTATAATTCAAGTTTGAATTATTCACAAAACAGTCGAATCACTTAGTCAGTGATATTATCGGATATGAGATGGTGGAATTTCAGCGTTGTCGTCACGCCACCTGACAGAAAATAAGAAAACCCAAACTAAAGAACCATAAAACGCATAGAACACAATACACCCATTGCTTTCGCCTATGCCTTCACAGATAAAGCAGAGATGCTTGACTTGAGTTGCTTTGCATCATTAAGATTAATATCCTCTACATAGTCTACAAAGGTGTGATTGAACTCTATCACGAGCCTCAAGCGCTTCAAGGTCAGCTCCAAAACCTTGGATTTCAACACTCCGGAGTGTGTTCTTTTCCGGATTGAAGAAGAAAACATAAAACGGTTTACATGTACAGTCCATCGACAAAACGATTTCACCTTTAGCAGTCACTCCAACGACCGAAAAAATTGCATGTATCAACGATTTTACTCTCCTATAAAGTATAGACATGTTTGGAACATTCTTGTTTCTCGACATCTTCAAGAACCCACATACACAACTCTAGGGTACGCCTTCCATCAACGGTAGTATACAATCGAATCCAACTAACTTATCCTTATAGTGTATCAACTTAGTAGTAATAGTATCTTCGTTCTCACATAAGCATTTCGCGTTGATGAACTCCTTGAACCCCTCAGACTTAAGATCAAAGCAAACTATGAAACAACTCAAACCACCACCATCGCAAGCTAAATAATATGTAACCCCATTGATGCATATACCGTCAGACTCAGACCTATTGTATCCAGGAAAATGGATCCTCGTCCTCCACCTCAGCTTTCTCAACAGCTACCGCTTCCTACATATAAACAAAACTGATTTTATAAACAAAAGAATTTTAATAAACTGTACAATCTTGACCTAATTAGCTATTTTCAATACTCTATTGATTTTCCTGAAGCATATAAAAAAGGCAAAAAAGAGAATGACCAAGTACTCGTTAGATTTGAAACTTCATCCTCTACCAAAATATAAGCCTTTGGATCTGTGACAAATTGAAAAGATGGACTTATATATAAACAAACAATGCACCAAAACTAAAAGAGAATGATTGATTTGAATCAATGGTTTGAAGTTTTGAGAAAGAAGATGATCGAGAGTTACTATCGTAGTCTGCATAAATAAGTAGCATCAATGTTTACTCCACTTATGATGGAGAATCTAAATCCAAGTAGGATCATCATCTGCTAAGTTTGAACAAAACTTTTCTAAGCAATCATATACCATATACAACTAATATGGTGATATCTTTCGACTCTTTTATAATAAAAAAACAAATTGAAAAATTCCCTCTAATAATCAAGAGTTGAATTACCAGAACAAATATCAAAGATAAGAGGAGAAAATTAGAAAAATGAGATTTTGATATTCAAACCTTGTAACCATGGAAAGATTTGGTGAAGTCGTTGAGAAAAGATTCTTAATCTTTTTTGTTCATCTAGATGTTTCAGGTTAGTATTAATCTTGTTCTTCCGGAAAAGATAAACCATCCATATGATAGATTAAGAAGAGTGAATCAATAAAGTAAGTATACAAACTATAACAATGTTTGTAAAAAATTTTTAAACGATTAGATCATATTAAACAGCAATACGGACTCTAAAACAAATTTAAATCACCTTTTGAAAGTTTTTGTTTTCGATCACTTACTTTTCCATGTTTCTATCACGGATCTGGTAGTGATTTTTTTCGATTTTATAACATCTTCTTCTCCCAAGACAGATTCTACGAATCATTTCCTCGATCATTCTGAAGAAAAGGTAAAAGCTGTCTCTTGGAATTCTTAAACTTCTTGACTATAATCCGGCGCAGAGAATCTCAGGTGTTGGTGAACGAAGAGTCTTAGTCTTTAGTTGAATCTTTTAACCTTGTGATCTTGTTTTCTTTTAACAGGAATCAATGGGACCCAAAGCTGGAGCGTTGGTTATTTTCTTGCTGGGTTTGACCTTGCTTTGTGACGCTAGATCTTTCTTTCACTCCACCCTCTCAGGTACGAATCTCTGACATGATCTATTCTATCTACATCATGCTTGATAGATTATTTACAAGTTTTTCACTTTAGATGCCAAATTTAATGAAATAGTTAGCTTCTATGGCTGGAGATGGCGAGATGGTTGAATATTCCAGTTTCACCACCTAAAAGAATGTCTCAGATATAGTCTAATTCAAGGCTCTTCATTGCTTAGAATTTCAAGACTTTTTTCAACTTTTCCTTTTGTCTTTCTGCAGAGGAAGTTTCCAGGAAGGAAGACGTTTGCACTCTGTGTGAGGAATATGTTACCGATGCTCTCACCTACCTTAAAAAGAACGAAACACAGGCACAGATAATGGAGGATTTTCATGATCGGTGTTCCCAGATGCGCGGATTTTCGAAGCAGGTTGATGAACTTTTGCATTTGTCTATATTTTTGCCTTAAACTGTCTCTGTTTTAATAACAAATGTGTTGAATTGAATGATGATATGCTTTTTTTTTGATGCAGTGCATAACTTTGGTTGACTACTATCTCCCTCTCTTCTTCTTACAAGTGGAGTCGTTTCAACCTCATTATTTCTGCAAGAGGATGAATCTTTGTGGCAGAGTGGTAACTCTTGTAGAAGAATCCCGTCAAGACACTTGCGGTGTGTGCCACAAGACTGTTTTAGAGATTCTCATCAAACTACAAGATCCCGACACACAGGTTAGTAGCAAGTGTTAGCTACAAGAATCAAGATGATGTCAATGTTTATGCATTCTTCTGTGTCATATAACTCTGAATTAGTCATCATAATCTGAACCATATTCCTAAACAATCAAAGTCCAAGCTGCTACGCCTTCGTGTAGTCTTGCTTGCTGTGTTATCATTCTCAAAGATTACTCTTAACAGTTTTAACTATCACGTGGTTTTATGTGGAGATGATCCTCGTGTAAACTTTTTTTCTTTTTCTTATAACGCCTTAGGCGTTTCATATACTGACTTTGCTTTCCCTTGGTTATCCAGCTGGATATAGTGGAGCTGCTTCTCAAGAGTTGCAAATCGCTCAAGAAGTATGAGAAGAAGGTTAGAGTAATCAAGTTCCAATATTTAATAACTCAACTCCATATCTAAACGTGTTTCTTTCCGATTTTGCGGTTGGTGTTCTTCTCGAACCTGTGCAACGCGACTGCATGATCATAGTCGTCATCATAGGCTTTTTCTCATTTGATCATGTTGTGTCTTATGTTATTACCGGGCTGGCCTAGTGAAAAACGACATCTGCAAGCTCTTACGCGCATGTCCGGCCGAGAAAACGGTTCTAAGCCAGCCCGGTTCGGCGGATTCTTGAACGTTTAAAACGAAGTAGGAACACGAGCTTGCTGTGTATTGTCCATAAGAATTGTTGCAGACTTTGTGAACCGTCTGTATGTATGGATTTTAGACACACACATATACTCCGTAAACGTTTCTTTGCGTTTGTGTAAATAATGATCGCTACAATTTGTACCTCTACCATAAAAGAAACAATCACAAAACTAAGTCTACAACTGCAGAAACATTTAAACAATCATAAACATAAATAAAACAGCCTAAACAATAGATGTTTACGAATTAGAAAACATGATAAAGAAATGAGATCGAAAAAAACACATCTTTTTTTTTTGTCATCTGATAATATTAATAGATCAAAGAGAATACAAAGGTGAAATACATTTTTGAAATACACTGACAGACTTTAAAATATAAACCAACTATAGGAGAAATGGAGACAAAAGCAAAAGGAAACAGAGTGCAAAAGCTAAAACCTGCAATGACCCTAACCACAAACTTTACCATACTTAACCAGAGAACCATGTTTGACGTTGCAGCTCGCTGAGAGACAAGAGAACCCATTACCTAAACACTTCACCTTCAATAAGCAAACCAAACTCGAAGCTAAGCATCAAGCGAACTCAACCAACAGAACTGCAACAGCAAAGAAGCAGAACAGCGCCAGAGCAGGAACCAACAACCGCAATATCGGACTACTCGCATTCATCAATCAACTTCTTGAATTTGGAGTCACTTGATGCGATGGAAGCACCCTTTTCAAGAGCTGTTTTAGCAGTCCGATATTCTTCAAGTTTCATACAGGCAGTGCTACAAATACCAAGGAATCAGATATTGAGTTTAAATGCCACTACAACTAATAGTACATAAGAACAATGACACACATGATGTTAAAGCAATAACATACCCCTTTCTTAGGTAGCCTTTGGCCAGTGAGGGATCCAACTCAATAGCTTTGTTTGCATCTACCACTGCTTCTGCTCATTAAAGAAACATGTGAGAGTCAGACCCAATAATGTAAGTAGGACCAGTAAACAGAGCACAATAAATCGATCACTCCGATCAACGATTCTCATGTCCAGTGATCCGAGGCGGAGTACCAATGAAGAGAAGGTGGTTGCTCGTCGGAGAAGAAACCACAAGCTTCATCGCCGCTCAGAAAATCGTCGTGATCCTCCGTCTGCTCTGTTTTCACGAACTGTAAAAAATTCCCGCCGGTAACCTTCGGCGTCAATCTTCCATAATCGGAGCTGGTTTCTTCATTCATAAGGGCGCTTGAATCGCAGCTGTCGGAAGATCCAGCGTAGACGGCGGTGGAATTCGGTAGGATGTCACAGAGATCGGTGAAGCTTCGCCAGTAATCAAAACCCGTGGAGTGTTCTAGAAACTGAGGAGGAGACGAAGGAATCCGATCCGTTTTGTGAATTAGTTTATCCGGCAGTGAAACTAACTCTTCCTTCACGGCGGAGATTTCACTCTCCGTCGTAGCTTTGTTGATGTCATCTTCTTCTCCGTTTATCTTACAATCATAAACATAAATAAAACAGCTAAACAATAGATGTTTAGGAATTAGAAAACATGATAAAGAAATGAGATCGAAAAACACATCTATAAAGTATCAAAGAAATCACCTCAATTTGGTTTCAGTATTGTCCAGACTCCATATCAAAAACTCTTTCCGGATGATCACTTTTATTTTATACGAACTCTAGAAAACATAAAAACAGAAAATTAATCTCACACCAAAAAAAACAAAAAGGAAGACTAAATCAGAAGGTGGTCTTGTTAAGAGACCCCATTGCTAAAATATAAGATAAATGAAGCACACCGGCCAATGAGATGTATATATATATATATATATATATAGGTTAGAAGATTAGGGTTTTCGTTAAATTAGATTTGTGTCACGGCCCAAAACCAGTATCAATATTATTAGAGTTTGTTGAGAATCAAACCAAGCCAAACCAATCGATTTAAAATCCGAAAATTACCACTAAGGACAGAAGGCGCTAATCCTTTTGAGAAGAGCTGTAGTGCGTTTCTGACTTCGCAAATAATAATATAGATGAAAATCTTTAAACCACCAGACCAAGTCAATAGCCGAGCTCAAACCAATCAAAACAAAGAAGATATCAAAAGAGAAGCACTTACCAAAAAAGAAACCGATTTTGTTGGTTTAAGAAGAGAAAATGGAAACAAGGACCAATGGCCATATCTCTTGCTTAATCTGGACCATTCACCATCCCTAGAAGATTCACCTCATTCATTTCGTGCAGAAGATTTAAGGAAGATCCCCCATTCATTGTCAGATACCACATCATGCCCATTGAAGCCTAACGGCTATTAAAAGACCTTTTTATTATTTAGCTTGATTCTAGTTTTCCTTTAATATTTTATGACCGTTATTTACATTATTTTCTGAGTATAATATAAGCTTTTTCACTTTGTATTTTCACAGTCAGATTATTCAAGAAATTAAAACCCTTTTTGTTTGTTTTCAAAAAAAGTTCTTTGCAACCAAATTGTTCCTGTCATTTCTTCTTAGTGTTTGTGGAATCAGCCTTGAAGATTTTCGTGTAGACTTTAGTATTCTCGTGAGAATTAGCCCTTGAGTACTAGAATCTAAGTCATTAATCTAAGTCATTTTGTGTTTGGGAATCAAAGCACAACCGGTTTATCAACTCATCAAACCATTCTTCCACCAACTTCAGCTTGAAGGTCCGGTTTCAAGGGAGCATCACTTGAAGCGATTTCGAGTCTTGTGTCACTATCTCTGTTTCTGTTTGAGTAATCACTGAGTTTCATCCGACTGAAACGTTTGTCTCTGTGTCTAAGGTGAGTGTGTGATGAAGAAGGACTTTTGGGTCACTAGATTCAATCCCTCTCTAATCAGATGTAGTATAGAAGAGGTTTAATCAATCCATCTAGAAGCTAGAGTAAAAGAGATGCAAGGTACTAACTAAGCTTAACCATGTACGATGAAATAAATATTATCTAATAACCTACGTGGACAAAGATGAAATGCAGAAGTGAAAAGCAATATTAACAAGACTAAAGCAAGCAATGCAATGCAAAGAAACTAAATGCAACAAAAACTAACAAGACAATGAACTAAATGAAATAGGACTAAGATAAGCAAAGCAATAGAAGTGCAATAACCAAAATAAATGCTAAATGCAATAATTTGAAATGCAAGGCAAGGAATGGAACAAAAGCAAGCAACTAAAAACAGAGGAAAACAGAACACAAAATGATGAAAAGCAAAGAACAATGAGGCGCTGGTTCAAGGCTAGAGCAATGATGACTTGGGGATTACTTAGTATAAAACCTAGGGTAGTCAAGACTGATAATAAGCAAAGAACATGATCAAGCAAGTAAATCAATCAATCCGCATCAAGAATAGAAACAACTAAGTTAAGCACATGTCAGACCCACTTGTGATGGCGTATCTGTGCAAAACCAGCCTGCAACAAGAACAGAGATGTCTAAGTTAAGCACATGTCAGACCCACATGTGATGGCATATCTGTGCAAAACCAGCATGAAAACACAAGGCTTTTATAGATCAAACATGCTACCTAAACGCCAATATAATCATCTAGGAGAATGTTTCTAACAAAGTTTTTTCAGGCATTTAAACAAACACTTGTGATGCAGCAAACACCTAAAATCAGTTTCACCCTAAAGGAGTTACTAAGCACTAGTTATTAAGCACTAAGAACAACTAAGCGAGGTGATCTAAGCATAAATCAAACCAAAACACCCTAAGCTATCAACCAATCATCCCCAAATCTGCTCCAACCTCAAACATATGAAACTACTCACAACACATAGCGATATCAACAGAAATAAGCATAGATGATAGATCAAACATGATTAAACAAGAACTAGAATAAAAATGACAAAAGAAGTGCAAAATTTTATTAAAAGAGTGATTTTGATCAAAATCCCATAAAAATCTCTTTGTGGTTTCCCACAAGGTCGAAAATAAGGCCAAGAAGAAGATAAGTGCTAAAAAGATAAGGTTTATCTTAAATAGGCTAAGAAGATAAGGTTTGACAAAAGGCAGAAAAATCTTGGTCAACGCTCGGCGTTGACGCATCGTGGTGCAAGGGAAGGTGTTCTGCTCGTTGTAGTTAGCTCGATATTGAGGTGGGTTCTCGGTGTTCTCCTCGATGCTACACCTCGATATGCCCTGTATATCCGTAGGCTTGTACGACATACCCAGCTCGGTGCACTACCTCGGTGCAGTCTCGGGGTCCTCGGTCAAATCTTTCTTCCTTGTCCCATGCTTCACATCGAGCAAGCTTCGCGGATCTTCTGCTCGATGCTGGACCTCGATATGGATACAGAAATTGCAAAGCTGCTTCTTTGGCATCTCCTCCGAACATGAGTTTCTTCAATTTCCTTTCCAACTCCAAAACTCTCCAAGAACACCTGAAAACCACCAAAAACATGCACATGTATGCAAATGTATGCAATCCTAAGCTAAATGCATGCCATGTTGATTCTAAGTGCAAATGATACTAAAATGCTAAACTATAATGCAAAAACAAAGGAAAAATTGCATGAAATGCAGCCTAAAATGATCTAAAATAGCAAGCTATCAACACCCCCACACTTAGTCTTTACTTGCCCTCAAGCAAATAAAAGATCTTGCATGGTGATGAGGTTTTAAAATGGGAACTCATATCATTGAAATGCTAACAATAGATCAAAATGATGTCCATGTTTCTAGTGCTAGAATGCAATTGATGGAACTGTACTCTAAAACTCAGCCACACTTATCACAAAATGAAAATGATTCTCAAGTTATCAATCTGCACAAGCCCTCAATCACTTGACCTTTTTAACATTCAATTAGCAAGTAACCAGTGGATCAAGTTTATGCAAATAAAGTAAAAGCATTTGGTTCAAGGGACATGGTTTTGAGATAAAAATGATCTCATTCATCAATGGCTCAAAGAAATAGGGGATCTCTCATATGAAATGAATCTATCTTAGGGAAAATGCTAAAGGTAAAAGCAC